GTCAAGAACGAAACGTAACGGATATTATCATTCACGATAATTACCTCGCCGGTAGGCTGAAAAATGACATTGCATTGATCGTGGTGGATAAATCATTGAAATTGACCAATGCTGTGAATACTATTTGTTTACCACCCCCAAGCGTTCGCACCAATGGAGGTACGATTTGCACTTCAGGCGGTTGGGGCAAAAGTGCGATCAATCAAAATGGAAAATATCAAGCAACTCCGAAAAAAATTAAACTACCAATTGTGAATCACAGAATTTGCGAGGCAATCTTATCCCCGGGATTCAAACACAATTTACCAGATAGCTTCATTTGCGCAGGCGGTGGCACATTAGATACGTATAAAGGAGACGGCGGATCACCATTATTTTGCAGAATTCCAAATGACATCGGACGATTTTATCAAACAGGCATCGCCTCTGGTGTGATGACGCGATATGAGCAAAAGATCATCGCCTCTGGCATGACGCTATATGGGATACCTGGATTGTACGTTAATGTTGCGTATTTTAGCGATTGGATCACACAACAACTTCAATTTATTAACGGGAGGATGAGACCGGAAAATATTTTATCAGAAGATTTGTTCTTTGAAAAAAGAAATTTTGAAAAATAGTCATGTTCTTAGGGAAATTGACAGAGTTTAAGGTAAAGAATCGGTTCTTTATATTGTCAAGTTTTACTATAATTTTGAATTTAACTTGTACATTTCTAGAGTTTGAGTTTTTTAATAAAGAAAATTTGTAAAAAAATGTTTGTTTGTTTTTCGTCACTTTTTTGTCTTCTTGGACTAGTATCGTCATTGAACGACATCGTTCATCGGTGTAAAGTTTGAAACCTGATAAGGAGCACCATTTGCAAAAACTTTACTGAACAACATAAGGAGACTTAAAAAGGAAGTAATTTGAACACAGTACGGAAAAGTTAGACCTATGGATGTAAGTTCCTTTTTATTTTATTTTTTTCAAATAGCCTTTGTGCGGTTGTTCATTAGCGTCGATGTTTCAGTATATTTATCAAATTAAACCGTATCATTTGAAGATAAAAAAGAATGAGTCACGGAATGGTGTTTGATTTTTAGTAGCAAAATATTAACCTTTGTCCTGTGCAGAAAACAAAATCGAATTCGAATACAATAAGAATTTTAATTTGCAACAAAATGCATCCTCGGTAATTCCACACATTTCTACGAACATATATTTCGTTTGGTTGGAAAGAGAAAGTTGTTTTCGATTGAATGAGTTCAATTCAATATTGAATTTTTTGTCGCACAATTTTTATTTTCCAATGCTATTTTTTGACAGGTCCACGTTTTTGTAATTTATTGGGCATAACTAATTTATTCAATTTAGCATATATTTGCCTGGCGGCGGGCAATGGTTGGTAATAGTGTTTCTATTTATTAATTTTATTTTAAAGATGATTATAAATATTCCGTTTATCATTGCGTGGTTTATGTTGTACAACTCAAGCAGTGTGATGCTATGATCTCATCTCTCACTGGAGCCACCAAGGAAGGCTTACACTGAAAATTTCAAATTAAGTGTACGATGATTTTGTGAAAGTGTACAGGCTTAAAATTATGAACTCTCATACATAGTATTGGGTGTATCGATTAATTTTTACCGTTTTTTGGGTGAAAATCTATATTTATTTGAATAACAAAATGAATGAGTACATTAACCAATGTATTGCCCATCGTTAGCTATGACTTCCGCCCATCTTCTTGGTAGCTTGTCGATTCCGCGTCGAAAGAATTCCTCATCTTTTGAGGCTATCCATTCATCGATCCATTTTCGCACTCCTTCAGGATTTCAAAACGATAACTCGGACAAACCCATTTGCATCGATCGAAATAAGTGGTAGTCAGAAGGAGCAAGGTCTGGAGAGTACGCGGGTTGATCAAGCCGATCCCAACTGAAGTCTTGTACTTTTTTTTAACGATGTCTGCTCGATGTGGCCTGGCATTATCATCGTGAAACACAACGTTGTCTTGTTTAGACGCTATCCTTGGCCATTTAATCTTCAATGCATGCTCCATTTTGATTAATTGCATGCGGTAGCATTGGGCTGTAACCGTTTCACCTGGTTTTAGCAGCTCATAATACACGGCACCTTTTTGATAACACCAAATGCACAGCATGACCTTCTTGCAATGAATGTCTCGTTTTGACTACGATGGTCCTGGTTGGCCTGGATCAACATACGCTCCTTTACGTTTGGGGTTGTCGTAATAGACCCACTTTTCATCGCCCGTAACAATTCGACTCAAAAAACTATGTTTTTTGTGTTCTTTGAGATGTTCTCTGCATGCTGTGATTCGTGCTTTGAGTTGATTTTCGTTCAGTTCATGTGGGACCCATTTTCCTAGCTTTCGAATCTTTTCCATTGCGTGTAAACGTTCACAAATGGTTGATTGAGAGACATTTAATTCCAATGCAAGTTGTTTTTGCGTTTGACACGAATTTTCATCCAATAATGCTTCCAAATCCGTATCTTCGAACTTTTTTGGCTGACCTGGCCGTTCTTTGTCTTCCAAATCAAAATCACCACTTTTGAATCATCTAACAGTCAGCGGTAAAAATTAATCGATACACCCAATAGTATTAGGTTATTATTTTAAATTTAACGTATTAAATTATTAGGTACTATAACTTCTAACTATGTAAACTTAGAGTTCGGATGCGTCGTATGCGAGCCGTTTCGTTTTTTTTTTTGTCGCGTCCCTCATCACTCGGTTTTCATTGTCGGGTGCGTGCGTACGTGCGCGCGCGCGCTCCTTGTATCACGAATCACGCAAGCGCCATGTTGTGAACTTCCGCCAGCCTGATTTGATTTCTTTTTCTGTTCGTATGAGTGGAAATATCCAGTTTAGTGTAGTGTACCGCACCACCACTCAAACAACATTATTGCTATTGATTATTGACTGAATTTCATATGTGGTGAAACGCGCCAAAGTAGCAAGCACCTGCTACTTTGGTGTGTAGTGTACCACCACCACTACTCAAACAACATGTATTGAGTGAATTTCATATGTGATAAAACTCGCCAAAGTAGCAAGCACTGCTTGCTATTTTGGTGTGTAGTGTGTACCGCAACACCAACACTCAAACAATATTATTGGTATTGACTATTGACTGGCTTTTATCTAAAAATCGTGACGATGAGGCAGAAAAATCGGTAAACTATTTTCTTCATTTTTTATTGCAAAAAAGCAATTGTTCATTTTTTTCTCTTCACAATCATGCATATTAGTAAGCCTCGCTGCGCGGATGGGTTCCAAAAGAAATGGTTGCTGTTGAGTTTAGAGCTATGAAACAAAACAGTATCCGCTCGAAATCGTGTAATCTATGTATCAAACAAGATGTGGAATGCACTCATCCAGCACCCAACATGGTCGAAAAATGGAAGGAATTAAAACGTAAACAAACCTTCAAGCCATTCTTCATTGTGATTTCGTAAGTTTTTTTTTATTAAAACCTAAAATGACTGGTGAATTACTTGACCAAAGTTTTTTATTTTTAAAAATTTAATTTTTATTGGAGCGATAAAAATTTATTTTTATTTTATTATCAAATAATTTTAATTTTAATATTTGAATAGATTATTCATCTTTGCTCAATTCACTGGCATTTTTGCAATGGCGCCAGTTATCGTGCAAATATTCAAAGCATATGGAAGCCCAATCGAACCGGATCGCACAGCGGCTCTTCAAAGTTTCGTAAACCATCTCGCAAACGTTTGCTTTTTATGCTTGTTAAAGTTCACCGGCAAACGAAAATTGTATTTAACAATGTTGTCTGACGTTTTTTTGTGCTCGATCGTCGTTTGGGTATATGGTTTTTTGGTGCTTCCCAATGGTTATAATTCATTCAATCGATCGGAATTCACTCTGGAAAATAAAAATCTCGCGTTTATTCCGATCATTGCGATTTTTCTCTGGAGTTTTTGTTCGTTCTGTGGTGTAAATTCAATGCCACGGTAATTTCGCTTTTTTTCACATTTGCTGTTTGTGTTATTTTCAAGTTTGATAAAATCTCATTCAAAATTCGGTTTTTCGCTTCGCGCAGGCAATTGATGTCCGAGGTGTTTCCGTACAAGTGTGTAAAAGTTGACTATCAAAGCATGCAGAAAAAAGTAATGTTTTCATAGCACACGAGGCGCTGCAACTGGAATCACTGCTGCGATGAACTATGTGATATGGTAATTAAATTTTCTATTTTTTCGATTCAAATTTCGAGGACAACATATCTTCTGTTCACCCATATAATTCATTTGCGGAGTAATTTTGACGATGGCGGCACTTTGCGGAGTTCTAACAGCACTTCTATGTGTATCATTCTTACGCAGATGATTAGTAACTTAGCTGTATGTCACGGGTACTAAGATGTTCGTTTGAACAAAATAAATATATGAATTTGCATGCTATCTCCATCGAACTCTGCACAGCCCATCGACAAAATTACTCCGCAAATGAGCTATATGGGCATTTATGATTTTATTAACACGATGTAAAACGTTAATTTTTAGCTTCATTGCAACCAAAACTTATTATAATTTGGAGACAACATTTTCACTGAGCGGAGTGGCGTTGTTTAATGCCATCTTTACTGCCGTTGGTCTGGTGCTAATGTATAAGATCTTGGCAGAAACCGAAAATCGTTCGCTAGAGGACATTGAAATGCATTTCGTCGATAATTCGAAGAAATTCACCGACCGAAAAATTGTCATTTCAAAATCGAATGGAAATTAATCAAAACAACCGAATTTATGCACGAAAAAAGGTAAAAAAAGCAATAGATTTATTCATTTTAAAAGAGAAAAAAAGTCAGATGTCTTAAGTACAGCTAATTTCAAGTTGATAACAATTCGATTTGTCGTTATCGTCCCAATGAACGTGTTGAATGGTTTTTGGGCCGTGATTAACTTTTGTTAAACGAAATTTATCGTTCAATTGAACAACGGAAAATACATTTTTCCAAATAACTTTGGTGGATTTCTTTGGATATTTCGGTTTATCCTCTTGTGCACTATCCAAAAGATGATACTGAATATTTGTTGCGTTTACGAAACCCAATTCATTGCATATATGTTTAAGTTTCACTTTTGATGGAGGATTTGGATTCGCTTTCCATAAGCATTTTGTCTGCCATTCGCCAGCCGATCGCTCAATAACACGGTAATATCCGCTTAAAAAAAGAGAACAAAAATCAAATGCCATTCAATTTGATGCTACTTAACGCTTTGCTCACCTATTTTCATATCCTTCTTCAACGCCATGACAAGATTGCTCGTCTTCGCCACGGGGACAGTCGGATTGTCCATCACAGACAAACTGAGGCGGAACACACATGCCGGAACTGTTTGGAGAGTGAAAAACAAATTAATTTTTTCTTCGTTATCAAATCGAAATTATTTCTTAACTTACTCTCCGCATCGGAAACTCTCTCGTCGACATGGGCAATTCAGATTCTCATCCGACTTATCATGGCAGTCGGGAATTCCATTACAAATTTTCCGTGGATCTGTTAATCTATCAATGTACAGGTAAAAAAATGTCAATGAATGTCTTGAAAAAAATAATGGATTTGTCTTGTTGAACTCACTCGAAATATTGGAAACAAGTGCATCCCTTTGGTTCATCACTGTGATCTTTACAGTCCGCCACTCGATCGCAAAACTTTGTTTTGGACACGCAGGTACCGTCGCCACATTGCAGCTCTTGTGGTGTACATTTCTTCTTTATCCGGCATAATTCTTCGTGTTCATCGCTGCCGTCTACGCAGTCGGGCGTTTTATCACAAACTCTGTCATTGCTAATGCATTCGCCTAATGGGCATCGATGACCAGAACAGTCAGGCATTTGTTTTGTATACGAACACAATGGCCAATCTGAAAATCAATTAGTTAATAACTTTGACTCTATTTTAAACTCTTTTTGGAAATTTCCATTGAAAGAGAAAGTATTCTTACTCAAAATCGATTCAATGCTTCGGTAACTATATTCCAGTGGCTGAATTTGTGTCAAATTATTGAAGGTGCATAGGCCGTCATCGTGTGAGAAAATTGAAATCGGATAATAAGTGTTGTTTTGCTCTGATCGACAAAAAACTAATCCGTATTTGGATGCATCTGAAATGGATTGAATTTTATTGAAATGAGTGTCTTTTCACAGCATAAAAAAGTAATGAAGACACATACCAAATGCGTCGCATTTTATATTTTCAATCAGTTCTTCGGTTTGGTAGCAATTGCTTTGTTCATCTGGGCAATCGGTCTCATTTCGTACGATTGGAATACTGACAAAACCTCCAGTCGGTCCATGCGTAATGGCGGCACAATCTTCATCATTTTCATCGATGCTAAAGATTTCAAAAAAAATTTCACGATAAAATATTGATTTTTTTTCTCTTAACATTTTCAGGATGATAATTACCGTGGCGATAAAAACGTTGGCAACGTGTATCGATCAAATTTCGGTGAATTGGCTAAATGCAATAAAATTGCGGAAGTTGAATTGTGCAAGGCGCGAACACAATCGACACGAATTATCTGCTCGGTTAGCGTTAGAACGTTGGGTGGACTCTTCGAATGTCCTAATATAACATTGATCACATGTTGGTCCAAACTATAATTGAAAAAAAAAGAGAAAAAAATGATGAAAGAAAATAGAAACGGCGAAAAAACGATTTCGATTCTTTTAGAAAATTCCACTGTTTTTCAAATAAAAATGCCATACTTGACCGAATCGATGACTGTTTTCTCGCTCAACACCCAATACCGATCCAGTAAAACGCCAATGCTTGATAAATCGCCATCAATGAAAATACTTGCAATCCATGGCGCACTGAAATTGTCAACAATTATGTCCTCTTGCCTATCATTTGCCGGAATAGGAACAATAATATTTGGCACTTTTTCGGGTTGAATGATCGGTTCAATTGGTTTCGATTGTTGTGGTTCCGTTGGGTGTGCCGTTGGTTTCGGTGTTGTCACAGGTGTATTGGTCGATGTTGGTGGTGATGTTTCGTTATCACTTGGTAAGAGCTCGCCTGGGGTTGGATTTATAATTGGCATCACCATATGTGGAACACATTGGATTGATAATGCAAAGCATTCACACGGTGCCCCAACAATAATATCGGACATGTTAAGATCATCATCATCTTGTGATACATGCAAAAATTTGTTGATGTCTAAGCTTCTTTTGAACATGAATCGAGGCATTGAGTGACGATCAAAAACTGTTTGCCTGAAAAAACCAAAAATTTCCAAGAAATTCAACAAAAAATGAAAGGAGTTGGTGATTTTCCTTCATATGAAGTGAGTCTACTGTCAAACGTCAATATATTATCGAACCCTTCTATGAAATGTACAGTGGCGCCACTTTTTGGTACTAAGTAATTCCATAGAAGGGAATTCCATTTCGATAAAATATTGACATTTGACAGCAGACTCACTTTTTCACGAACTTCTTTATTCCAAATAAATTTACCGCATAAAGTTAACTCGGTGATTGTGATCTCTGGGCTTTGCTTTAAAGTCACCGTCTTTATTGACCATGATGACATTATGCGAAACATAGCCGCTAAAACCTAGAAGTGTACATGTTTCGCCAGCCAATTCAGAGTTTTTCTGAGGTTCCATTCGTCGGACGCATCGAACCGACCATCTGCCATTCGCATTTTCACATAAAACTCCCTCATGTCTTAAGGCTGGTTTCAATTCGGCATCCATTAAGACCACTTTGCCATCGGTCAAAGCAACTGGAAAGAAAAAGAAAATGTAAAAATTCGAATATATTTTGAAACAATAATGTGATCACTTACTGCATTCCTGCTCGTCTTCGCCAAATTTACAATCCTCGTGTCCGTCACACTGCTGATCTTTTGGAATGCACTGTTTTGATTTTCGACATTCGAATTCATCTTTCTTGCACAAAGTACAACCCTTTTCGTCGCTGAGATCCAAACAATCGACGTGCTGATCGCAAATCAAATGAGCATAATCATTCTGAAAATGAACAATTCGAATTGATTAATGATAAAATATAAACAAATTTCGATCATTTTTACTCCTCACTTTCAATATATCGCGACAAGAACAGTTTTGTTCATCGGTACCGTCTTCACAGTCAGCATTTTTATCGCATCGCATTGCAATGTCTATCGTTTGGGTAATGCTATATATAAAAAAAAAAAAAAATTAATTATTCAAAACCACAAAAAAAGTTAAGGTTTAGCAAAATCACTCACTTTGTACATATGAAAATGTCGGCGCCTTCTTTAGCTTCGGGGATTATAAATCCTTCTGTAGTCGTTTCAAGCGTGCTGTTCCGTGAATTGGTTGCTTTCGTTGGGCCCAGGTCTTCTTGATCAAATACCGATGGACCTGAATCGGCTGGCTTTTCAATTGAACTTGAATGTTTCGGACTCTTTGTAGTCGTCACGAGAGGAACAGGGATTGATGTGATGTTAATATTTTTAGTAGTTTTTTTGCGTTTCGTTTTTGCTGACGGAACGGTGGTACTCAATTTTTCTGGGTGATTAGCAACCGTTGTAGTTGCAGTAGGGGTGTCAGTTACTGGATTGATTGGAAGAACTGGTTCAATGGGTTCCGTTGTTGTAGAAATCGGTCCCATGGTAACAGGTGCTTCAGTGGTTGTAGCAACCGGCTTCACAGTGTCAGGTGCTTCGGTTGTTAGTACTTCTGTTGTCGAAGCGATCGGCCTCACGGTGACAGATGCTTCCGTAGTTGTACCGACAGTGACTGGAGCTTTCGTGCTTGATTGCTTTTTCTGATCAAGTTGACCACGTGGTATATTTGAATTTTCGCCGCCTTCAGGAAGTTCATGGTCATCGGCTTTCTCTCTGCCAACTCTCTTCCTCGGTCTACCACCCGGGTGGAATGCACAATTCAATTCATCTTCGCCATTCAAACAATCGACTTGACCGTTACAAACAAATTCCTTTGAAATGCAGCGACCACTCCAAACACACGTAAAACCAGGACATTCACGTTTTGTAAAAGCGGCGGTTGTTCGAAGATCTGAATTGATCATTGTATTGATCCAGTCAATATACAAGGCGACACGTGTATAAACTGTAGGTCGACCACATCTCTCAGCATTACTAATAATACCAGCAATATAAAATTCGTTTGGATCCAAATTACTTCGGCATATTAATGGTCCTCCACTGTCGCCCTGACAAGCGCCGATGCCACCATCTTTTTCACCAGCACAAATCTCATTGCCACTGATGTCAACTGATGTCTTACAATTCTCCATTATTGGTACATTCACTTCTTCCAAATTGTCGGCTAAAAACAAAAAAAACGAAAAGATGAGAAACAATTCAGTAGAAAGAATCAGCCAAAATTACGACTCGATCCACCCTCGGATAATCTACCCCAACCAACCTTCAAAAAGTACACACATGAGTTAGAATAAATATTTCAACACCAGAAATGTTCAAAATTAAAATAATGCTTACAACAGTACAAGTGGTTCCTGGTGGTGGTCCGTCCATCCAATTTAGATCCATTTGATTGGTAACTCGTTCGGGAGATGGTAAACAAATTGGCCGTATCCATCGATTGAAAATCAATGGCTTTTCCATGCGGAGCAATGAGATATCATTTAAAAAAACTGAAACAAAAAAATGCATTATTTTTTTTTCAACAGTTAATTGAATGGGATGAAAAATTATTGAAAAAAAAAATGAGATTACCAGTTCCAACATAACCATCATTTATAATAACAGCATCAACCTTTCGGATTTGAACCTCAGGCGCAAAACTATACCGACGAAGCAAACCGGCATGCACTTCATAGTAATGTTGACCGGCTTTCATCACACAGTGAGCAGCCGAAATGACCTATTCAGAAGAAGAAAAACCGTTTTTTTATCATACTTCAAGTTCTTATTCTACGGTGGATTTTGCGGTGGATTTAAAATAATAAATCAGAAAAATTCCAAATAATAAATTACCCAAAACTCGTTGAAAATCGTACCACCACAAAGGAACTTTCCGTCTTTGTAAATGGCAACAATGTATGGCCAACTATGAGGTCCAGATCGGTCTCCGCCAACGATTCGTAGATATTCATCACGTTTGCGGCGCTCATTTTCATTTCGAATACGAAGTTTTGGTAGATTCGACAAAGGTTTTTTAATGCTACCACATTTCATCGGTGGACACTTGACTCGAATATGAATATCTCGTCCTTTTTGAGTGGAACAGGTATCAAAAAATCGAATCCGATTCGATAAATGTTCCCTCTCATCGTACGAAGACAATGAAATAAATTTGCCCGGCAATAGGCCAAAATGACTTTGAACTTCTGGAAATCTGCAAAAAATTCGCGGTTTTTCTTTAAATAAATGAAGTAATCTTAAGAAATGTGTGAATAATTTACCCGGACAGTTCACCCATTTCGGATTCGCATGCGTCTTTGGCCCAATTCAATGAATACTCACACACCGGATACCAACGTCCGCGGTAGTTTCGATATAGAACACCTTCGGTGTTCGGCACCATAAACGACTGCAACCAAAACCAACGAAATCAGTGTGAAAAATGATTAAAAATCTGTCATCTTCACATACCGTATGCAATCCAATGCGCTTGATTAGCATTGAACAATCCTCTTCGTCCTTTCCGTTCAAACAATTTGTGAAACCATCGCTAAAAAAATAAAAAAAATACAGTTTTTTTCAATTTGATCCAAATTTGAATGAAAAAGACTTTCTTACCATTTCTGATCTAAAGTGAAACACATGGCGCCCAATACGGTTTTCTCGTCAGCATTATTGTAGCATGAATATGAGTGTTTGTTGCAGCCAAAACATCCAATTTCATCGGCACCCAAAGGACAATCCAAATATCCGTCACAAATTTTATCGGAATTCAGGCGAGACACACATGAACACGATGTTTCATCGCTGGCGTCCAAGCAATCAACCACACCGTCACACCATTTTTCATTTGTAACACATTGATGCGAATTTATACATGATGTTTCACCTTCTTTGCATGTATTAAACGGACTTATGGTATTGTTCGGCAACATTTGATTCGGAAGCGGTTTAGGTGTCGGAATAGGCAACGGATCACAGCTACGAAAGGATATTCAAGGATATTCAAAAAAAATATATTCGGTTTGATTGGTTTTGTTCACTCACCCAATAGCACTGCCAGTTTCTCCGAATATCGGCGTATTTGAATCAACAATAAAATTTGCTGGAAAGATTAAAAAAAATTGAAATAAAATTAATTTAATTTTTTTTTGTTCGGAAAATCTTACGATCTGTTACACCGCCACCTGTAGCCGATGAAATAAACTGTTATTGCAGTGCTATGAACTGTTGTTGGTTTAAAAACTTACATTGGTAAACTGGTACTGTCTGCACTGGTACTGTCTGCACAAACATGCATACGGGACTCGAAACTGGAATGGAACGCACGACTGGCACAACAACTGTAAATCGATTCAGACGAAATCAATAAATTAAATTATTTAAAATTCAAAAAAGCAAACATACCACCAATGGGACTAAATTGTTGCTGTATTTGCTGCTGCGGTTGCTGTTGTGGGAAATTTCGGTTTTTATTTGTTATTTGGCTTTGGAAATTCTGGTTATTATAAGGTTGAACGTTGTTCGTGACAAATCCGCTTGATGTGTATCCAGGCAAATTGCCGCCAGAAGCCGATTGATCCATGTGTGTGTTTTGACTACGGGCTAATTGTTCACAAAACTGCATAACTTGACCACTTTGGTCTATGTATGATAAAAAATCATAATCCTTAACTTTAATTAAATCCTTAAACCTTAATCATATTGAGGACTGTTTGAAATGTTATAACAGAAAAAAGTCATTGTGTTTCATTAAAATTTGCGATCTGATGGTTTTTTGGCATTCTGAAGCCGAATTTTTGGGTTTCAGGACAAAAAAATCAGGGGTTAAGGGGTTCAGACCGCTGACCTCCCTAGGGGGTGGGGGGAGTTGAGGGCAGCTGACCCAAAAAATTTCTCTTATCATTCTAAACAACTTTGTGGAATATAATTTTTTGATCCGATGAGAAAATCGACATCAACAAAAAAAAATTGGAAAAAAAGAGGTAAACGACCATTTTTGCCAGTTTTTGTATGGAAATCGTATCAAAACGTTGTTATATCGCAAAATAAATGTCAAAAATGAATGCCTCGACCCCAAAAACCCCCGCATACACCTTTGGCTAGAAAAAAATAATGTTTTTTTGAATTTTAAATGCAATATCTAAGTCGATTTTTAAATATTTTGGAATATATCTATCTAAAAAAATGCGGAGGCTCGAAATTCATTTTAGACATATGGTTTCTTGGGAAAAAATTCTTAAAATGATCAAAAAAACACCGTGAGAGGGTACGCTACATCGACAAAAAATTTGACTCACCCTAGTATATATATATTTGTGTTGAATTTTATACTATATATACGATACTGTTAAAGTTCTTTTAAATATGAATTATCCAATTAAAGAATCGATAAATCGTGTTCGAAATGCGAAAATCGCAATTACGGTCTTGGTTCAACAAAATGCATTAACGAAACTGCTTAAAATACTAATTTTAGCAGGAATTAACTATTTACCAAAAGACGGCCGTACACTTTTAACTACACCCAGATTTGTTGACATTGAAAACCGCTCAGGAGAAAAATATTGGTATGGTGGTCTTGTTAATGGTCTGAAAACAGTATTTTCCAATCTTTCTAAATCTAACATAAATATCGACGGCCTACCCTTATTCAAAAGTCCAACGGTCGAATTTTGGCCCATATTGGCCTCTTCAAATAACGAAAAAAATTTTTTGATGGAAACGCCAGAGAATCGCAATAAACTTTATGATGATGAGCCACCAAGTAGGCTGCCAGTAAATCCAAATCATCACGCTTTTTGACTATGAGTTTGGACGAAACGTACGATCTAATACGCTATTTTCGAAAAGTGGCCAAGGAAAAAGAATTTAAAGACTGCGATCGGTGAGTCATCGACTCTTTTTTTATCGATTTTTCTTAACCTCAATTACTTGAGCTTATAACTGCAGTATTTTGATGACCGAAGCATTTGTAACACTGCCAGAAATAATAAGATATTATGGAAAAGTACGAAGAGGCGTGCTAACTGACTATGCAGCCGAAATTCCATTTAATTTTATTTTGGGCGAAACCGATGATCAATCGACGGCACCAGAAATTGTTGAGAAAATTTCTAGTTGGATTTAAGAAATGCCAAAAGCGGCGAAAATTCATCCAAATTGGATTGAAAGTGACGAAAAGAATGAGTTTTTAAAAAAAATCGATTTGAAGGGGGAAAAGTTCTCATTTTTATACTTTTCGATTTGAATTGTTTTTAGCTTGGCAACCATCATTACCCCAGAATTTCTACGAAATATGGAAATTGACGAACCGATATTTTTAACATATTGACAAAAACATTGCCAGGCATTGCCATAACTTACTATGTAAAAAACGTTTTTTTATATATAAAACTCAATTTAATAGTGTTTATTGTACTAATTATTATTATAAAATTTAAAATTTTGGAAAAAAGGTGAGGAGATAGGAATGACGTGGGAGAATGCGGTTGATAAAAGGGTTTGCACAGTGAATAGAGAGCCACTTTATGAACGTTGCCGTGATAAATATCGAACACCGATGCAATGGGATGAGACGGCAAGTGCTGGATTCAGCACGGCTAAAAGCTGGCTTCCCGTCACCGACAATTACAAATGTATCAATGTTGATTTCCAAAAAAAGAAGGATCGCAGTCATTTGAAGATTTTTCAAAAATTATCAACATTACGACGAAATCCAACAATGAAATATGGTGCGCTTGAAATTCATGCTCTTAACGAACACACTTTATGATTTCCCCTCAAAAACGTAATCGTAAAAAATCAAAATGTAAAAAGACTCGTATTTTTCAAAAAAAAATTAATGAATTTGAACGAAAATTCAAATTTTGGAAATATCTTTTTAAAATTAATCCTTCTTCTTGATTAAAATTGTAAAACACTTACCACCACTATTTGGAGTTTTCAACTGATTGATTTTCTCATTATCACGAAACGTTGCATGTGATGATTGTAAGCGACTTGGATGAAAATTCTGTACTGACAAACGATGTGGTGCTGGTGGTCTTGGCATTGCTTGTGGTGGATTTGGTGTATCATCAACATTCCATAAATTCATTCGTTTTTTATCTAATTCTTCGTGAATGCGTGGAAAATGTGTAAACGATTTCATATTATGTGGCACTTTTTCTTCTTGATTCACTTCATTAAGCGGTTCTCCAATTGGTTCCGGCCACGGCGGCAATGGTAATTCTCGCTGAACAATTTTTTGATGAACGGTTTGAAAATCTTGATCACCTTCACCGAGTGCTTTAATTTCGTGATAAATAGCTTCACTTATTTTAACCATTTCATTGAAATATTTGGCACATTCACGTTTGTCGGCACTGGTCTTTTTACAGAACTGATATTGCACTTTTAACTGTTGTAAATTTTCAGTCAATCGTTTTGTTCTTAAACTTTTTGCTTGCACGGGCATTCCGAAGTGGACGGGATCAACTGACGAAAATCGCTTTTGACGATGTCCAAATTCACTTTTTTGGCCATCGAATTTACGCACTTTATTGACATTATTGAAGTTAACTTTTTCAATCGTCGATCGTTTGAGACGCTCTTTTGTTTCAACCACTTCAACATTTTTCAGTAAGAAAAACAGCACTAGCACAAAACAAATGCATAAACTTCCGATGATGAATAAAATTCTCTTCGTTCCTGCCAATCGAACGTTACATATTAGAAACTGTTCGCTATCTATTTTAAAGAAAGAAACAAACAGAAATTTGAGAAAAAAACTCGTTGAAACAAAGAAAAAAAACACATTTGAAACACTTTAAAAATTTGAAAAGGAGACACAAAACTAAAAAATATCGAATTTAATCCAAAAATCACCAAAGAAAGAAATATTCAATTTTTAACAAAAAAAATAATAAAAATTACCATTTAACTGAGACACTTTCATTATTTCTGTCTCTATCACTGTTAATTTAATGAAATAGCACCGATCACGAAAGTAAATATTAAATCGTCACTGGTCTTGAAGCAAATGTGAAACCTATCAAGTTGCAGATTATTAATTAAACCATAATCCCTCGTATTTTTGTGCTGGATCAGCAAAAGTGACTCGAAGCAAACATTTGAAAACCAAGAAACCAAAGTAACATGAAACTTTGGAATTTTTAGGCCAATGTATACGTAAAGCAAAACAAGTGATCGTTTTTATTTTGAAAAGTGAACGCACTCGAAACCTAATTCGATTTTGATGCGTGTTACAATCTTCTTTTCATTGCGTTGGTCAGGGTTTTTTTGTGCAATTCATAAAATAACTCAAAAACGCATTCGAAATACCAAAAAAAAAAAAAAAAATTTCGGAAAGACAAGACATTGCGAGAAAAAATCACATCGTGTGCAACGTGTGACTGAAAATAGATAGAACATACATGTCATCAAATTCTTCTTCGAAAAAAGTGATTCACAGAAGCACCGAGTATGTATGAAGTGACATTTGAGTAAATTTATATATGAATGAACATCGAACAGAAGCGAGCGATGTCTTTTGTTCTGCATTTTTCCTTTCATAAATTCAATTGGACGGGAATCTCACTCATATTTGTATCTAAATAAAACCAGTAAGCCCATTAATTAAAAAAAATTGTTTGCAATTGCTTTATTTTGTGTTAAATCGATCAAATTTCAAAACAATTTTTGTCTTTATTTTGTATGAAAAAAAAAAGTTATTTTGAATATTTATAAATAGTGGTATAATAAAATTTGCGTGTGTTATCAAGAGTCAAAAAATGACACTGTTTTATTGTGGAAATGCATTCGCCATTCTATTACCTTAGGTCATTGGCATATATATTAACAAACGAAATGTTTGAGAAAATCTTCAAAACAAATGTTGAAAAAAAAACTTGTCATTACTATCTAAAAAATCTATAAAAATTGCATATTTTCTGTTTCTAAACTGTCTTAAACTATCTAACTTGAAAAGTTAAAAAAAATCCATAAATATCACAGTTATGTTAATTATTCGGTTTAAATTGTTCGTCAATGCCAAAAATTGAACTGGGTCTCGTTGGCATTTCATTGCCTTCTTTTACGTTCGCATCTGGATACATCTTGCCAATTTTAGGATCGGTTATTTTCTTCGTATTGTTGTTCGCTGTGATGTATAAACTGCTACGTACCTTCGCATGTGACGGACGACGCATTCTCAGCAAGATATTTTAATATGCTGTGGATGGCAGCAGCGCTGAGCAAAACTCTGTGTATGTGATAAAAATGATTACAAATGGTGCCAAGATAATGTCAAGCATCAAATAACTGCATATGAACTGCATTTGATTTCAGGTGCTTAGCACCATTATGTCGAGCCACATACTCGATCCAAAACATAGATTCGTCCATCGGATGTACTAGGTTATCTATAAACACTCGTGCTAGTTCTTTTGCTCGATTGTAATAAGACTTGTTTACTAATAATTCGCTTATACGCAAAAAAAGATTTTCCGTTGTAATATCCGCAAATGGTATTTGTGCATTTCCAATTGCAACCGATTTCAATGAATTTCGCATTTGAACTTTGAAGAATGGAATGAATATATCTTTTCCGGTGGCATATCAGTCGATTGAACAAATGATCCGAGTGAGAAGATTATTGCTCCATCCTTCGAATTGTCGAGGAATTCTTTCAAGTTTCAGTGGTTTTATATGAGCACCTCCAATATTTATTATACCTAAACAATTATGAACACGTCATATTTATTTCATAGAAAATTCAACTTCATTTGACTAAATCGTTGGGTGAAAAATTAACATTACCTGGCATTTGTGGCCGTGGTTTGGAGGTACTTCGATGCGTATTTGTTAGAATCAACGAAATATTTCGATATAACTCCTGTACGGAGGGTAATCTAACGCCATTCTCTAATTCAATATTTCATTTAATTTCACAATGTTTTGATTTATGAAAAAGAAATTGTTCCACCTACGTGCCAAATGTCCAAAATATCGCTGTGCGATCTCATTTTGTCGCGGCAAAACAATCCATTCTCTAAGCATCAAATCGTATAATGACAGTATTAGATTGTAAACTCTTTCATAATACGTCATATCATCGCCATATGGAAGAATCAATAACATTCCCATTGCTCGATCAAAAAAATCAGAATATCCATATGTGCCTAAATTTAAAAAAAAAATCGAACAATTATTTACGAGAAGAATCCTTCAACTATAATAAAAAAACACACAAATCGTAACAACTGGAGCATTGAATTTATAACCAAACATTAGCCAACTCTCATGGAAAAATTCCTCATTAATAACCAAATCGAAATGTAAATTGTCACTGTTTATGACCTTTTGTACATTTGGATGATTTAATCCGTAATCACTTGTTGGTGTTGAAATTTGTTCATACAAATGAAGCGTATCAAAATCAGTTCTGTTGCTTTTTCTGAATACGTCGTCTTTTGCAACTATAGTTCAATGAAATTTATTTTAAAAAAAATATTCAATATTTTTTTTGGAGTTTTGTAAGTAATATTTACAAACGGCTGATAAATCGAACGGGATCTATTAAAATTTCCGTGTAATTTGGTGAACTAAAGTTGTTAATTTTCTTATTTACAACGGCAGTCACTTCATGGCCGCGGCTTACCAACTCCTTAACAAAAGTCTGTAGTAAAAACCAATGACTGGGACCGGGAAACGGGACCTTCGAATGTAACAATATCGAGATTTTTCATATTTATTATAAACGAAAAATATTTCCTAGCAATGAGGATATTTTCCTCTCAACAAAAATATTTCCTGGAATATTTCTTTCGGCAAAAAAAAGTTTTTACTCACCAAAAACAATATCTTATATCCATTCGAAAAAGCAATTAGTGATAAAATAACAATCAAATGGTATTTCTAAAAGATATGTCAGATAATCAGTTTGAAAAATTCAAAACTATTTCGAATAGAAATTGCAATTTCCTACCATTTTTAGTTCAGGAGAATTGATTTTAACGTAAAAACTGTGAACGTGATTAAAATCGAATGATTTTCCTAAGTAGAGTTCCGAAAAATATATGGTGTTCTTTGGTGTACTTGAAAGATAAGTAAAAAGAAGATAAGTAAAGAGAGAGACGGTCACCATTAGTAGTACAAATGTTATACAACAAGTAGAACTTTTTGTTTCAATCATTTCATTAATATAAAAAAATATTAATCATATACCCGGTAAAATTGCAAGTCATCCAAAAAACAACACATTAAAATGTTGTAACAATATAAATTGTAGTTCATTGAATTATTCAAAATATTGCTTGCAATTGACTATTTATTTTACAATATCTCCGTTGTCGTTTTATCCATTCATTTTTTGTTTTCAATTTCAAAAATGTACTAAAAAAGTTAATAAAGAATGGCGCGCGCGTGCTTCAAATGGAGACGGTCGTTCAGTGTGTTATAATGTGAACCAAATAGCGGCAAACGCTGTCAACTGATGACAGCGATAAAAATTACCGGCTGCGATTGCTGTATGAGACGAAATATTGGTCTAAATGCCAAGTTTGTTCAAGCCATCTAGTGGTGTTGCTATTAACTAAGACAAACACATACAGCACCCAAAAATATATATATACATATAGCAGACGCCATTGAAACACAGATTTTCTTATTGATCGTACGAAGCAAACCCTACGAGGATTTATTTGTTGTTTAAAATTTGTTGGAAGACCAGAGAAATAATTTGAGTAAAATGTGTGTACACTATTGAAAATGATATGTTTTACTAAATTAAGTAGAAAATTAATGTATTTCTTAAGTGCATACGTCAAATAAAATTAAAAAAAAAGTTGTAGTGTGAAGCAAAGTGAAAGAGAGAAAAGAACCATTTAATGTTTGTTTGTTTGTCGCTACATTTGATTTGAGTTTCGGAACGCCAGCCATTGAGAAAAAAAGAAGAAGAGCGCATTAAAAGCACACACACAATCGAAATAATACGAAACAAACGGAATTTTTTTGTAGCAAAAAAAAATAATTTCTCAGTTTTTAATTGTATTGCAGTGATTATGATTTATTTTTATATTTATTTTCATTTTGCATAATAATATGGCGAAAAATGCGAAATATGACAGAAATTTGTCGGAAATGAAATCCGTAGAGACGATATAATGTGTGCATTATTGCACATTCTTCATCTTTCATTTATTTTTTCATTCTACGGCGTATTTTCATATCAATTTTCATGCCAATTGCAGTGAGCCACTTTTTTGAAATCTATTTCGGTGTTGTTAGTACCTTCATTTTAAATCATACAAATACCCAGCATCCATCAATATAGAACAATGAGTCCATTTTTATTGGTCCTTATCAAAAATACCGCAAAGTTTGCTATTTATCAGAATTTCACGCACAATATCGAGACTGTTCATATTTATCATAAACAAAAAATATTTCTTTTAGAAAAAAAAATGTTTTTACTCGAACCACGGGTATATTTGACGCGCGAGTTTGGATATATTTGTGTGTGCGTGTGTGTGTGTGTGTGTTGTATATGTATTGAGTTGAATTTATACTAAAATTTCGTAAAATATGTTAGAAATGAAATTTGGATATTGATTGAAAATAAATGTTTTTCTTTAATTCTAAAGCAGAAAATAGTGAATAGACATGTCGGAAGTCGTGTATCCGCAAGGGTGTAAGCCCCTCAGAGAAGATTTGGGTCCAGATGAGCTCATACGGCGACTCAAAGTAAGTAAAATTCAAAGACATTTTTGGCATTTCAATTATATTTCCAATTGAATATTTTGAGAATTTGACGAATTTTTGTAATTATTGCTCTAGAGCTTGGCACATACTCTACAAACAATGAGTCAAGATGAGAACAAATATCAGGCGTATATACCATTGGCATTGCATTTAGTTGACGATTATTTTCTAACACACTCATCGCGTGATGTTCAGTTGTTGATTGCATGCTGTATTGCTGATGTGTTGCGTGTATATGCACCTGAAGCACCATATAAAGAAGCCGACCAAGTGAAACTGATTTTCATGTTTCTTATTCGTCAACTGGAAGGTTTGAAAGATCCCAAAGATCCGGCATTCAAGCGATATTTCTATCTCTTGGAGAATTTGGCTTATGTTAAATCATTCAACATGTGCTTCGAATTGGAGGAATCTCAAAACATTTTCTGCAGCCTATTCAGCCTTTTCTTTAGAATTGTAAAGTGAGTACGGACAATCGAACATTAATTATTCATTAGAACACATTTTATGGCCAATCAAAAACTAACTGAAAATAAATCAAATCTCAATTTTTAATTATTTTAGCGATGAGCACAGTGGCAAAGTGAAATCTTTCATGTTGGACGTATTATGCCCGCTTATCACCGAATCAGATAATGTTTCATCACAATTGCTCGACATCATTCTTATTAACATAGTTGAGCCACAAAAGTCTTCAAAAAAGAACGCTTATCATCTAGCAAAAGAACTGATCATTAAAACAAATGAGACTATGGAACAGTATATTCAACAGGTACGCTTGTTTATATAACTTCCAATCCAAAATTCATGAGTATTGAATGCATACATTTTGAATTTCAGTTCTTCAACCAAGCATTGGTCATGGATAAGGTCAATAAGACTTATCAAATTTCTTCAAGAATCTACGATTTAATCTATGAATTAAATGTCATATGTCCAAGTATTTTACTGCAAGTATTGCCACAACTTGAATGCAAACTAAAAGCTGGATCAGAATCCGAGCGTTTGAGTAAGTTTTATCAGTAATTTCTTCTTATCAAAACGCTTCTTTTATACTCATTTTATCTTCTTTTCTCGAATGAATAGAGGCCGTAGCATTGTTGGCGCGTATGTTTTCGGAAAAAAATTCGACGCTTGCCAAACAATATAGTGCATTGTGGCGGCAGTTTATTCAACGTTTCTGTGACATTGCCGTACCAATTCGTGTGAAATGTGTTCAAAGCAGCATGCACTTTTTATTAAATCATCCGGAATTGCGTGATGAAATTATCGAAGCGCTAAAATTTCGTCAACATGACGGTGATGAGACCGTTCGTTATGAAGTAGTAATGGCAATTGTTGAAACGGCCAAACGCGATTTTCGCATTGTATCCGAATCAGAGGATCTATTAGAGTTTGTGAAAGAGCGCACACTGGACAAAAAGTTTAAAATTCGCAAAGAAGCAATGAGCGGTTTGGCTTTGATTTATAAAAAATATTTGAGTGACGTTGATGTGCCGGAAGCAACGAAAAAAGCTGTCAATTGGATAAAAGATAAAATTCTTCATGGATACTATATGACTGGGCTAGAAGATCGATTGTTGGTCGAACGTTTACTTATCACATGCCTAGTGCCGTACACATTAAGAGCCGAAGATCGTATGAAAAAATTGTACCAACTACTTGGAACCATTGACGATAATGCTATTAAGGCATTCATTGAATTACAAAAGAACCAGTTGAAAGTTCGCAAAAGTGTTTCGGATTGGGTCAAATTACATCGCGCTAAGGAGGTTACACCAAAAATTCAAAAAGAAATGAACATCATGTGTCAAGCAATTTCAAAGTGAGTAAAAAAAAATCACATTTTTAAAGTGAACAATTTGTCACTTGTAGTTGAGAGAAGAAGCTAACACTTC